AAGACATCCAACTAAAATAAAAAGAGGGTCTAATATCCACACCACAGTGCAATGATATGAAGCAGTGTTTTCTATTATATAATTTTCAAATAATTTGTAGGAAAGTGAAAAAGTACACTGTTCAGAGAGTAAAAACTTTCAAGTTTTCACTGTTTTTTTTTTTTAAAGAAATGTTTTTATGGTAGTAAAATGACATTGTATATCATTCAATTGACAACTAACATTAAATTTAATGACAATATGATGGCATAACTGTTAAATGAAATTCTTTATTTGTGATTTTGCAGTATTTGTTGATCATTTTCTATTTATATTAGACAGTTTTATTCAATACTCTAAATGTTCTACATTACATGCTTTTTTAAAATGATCAACAAATACTGTGAAATTACACGGCAAATCAACCAATTAACCAGTAGCATTTAAATTAATAGATCAAACAGACTTAAACATGAATATGAATAACATTTACAGGATTGAAAGCAACTTTATTTTTAAAACACATCTTAAAACCCTGGAGAATGATGACAGTGATACAGTACATTTGACAATCCTAAAGAGGAAAAAGAAAAAAAAAAAAACCCTGGCATTATACTCATGGATGCTTTTATGATTGTATGTAGTCATGGACACTGTCTTGTTTTGGACTGGTTAAAACAGGCTCTGGCAGCCATAAATTTGCTTCCACAAAACAGGTTGAGGTTTCTCTCCCAACCTGTTTTCCCTCACTGTCTATAGTAACTTGCTGCAGTTAGCTGGTTGGCTCGCTTGCTAAGTCTATCTACTACTACTACACACAGCTGATTCCGCTTTTCAGTAAACAACAGTAATTGTCACAGCTCTGCTTTTAGTCCTTCCACCGGCCCATCACCTCTTATGTACTCATGGTGGCAGGTGATGGAGTCAGTTGATGGACACCTGGGATCTGAATGTTTACCTTGTACTACCATCTGAACTGTGTCTAATTGCTACGTGACAAGATGGTAACAGTGGCAAGGTGTATTTTTAGTATTAGTGTTTGCTTTTCCTTTGGTGTGAGGTGGAATAAACATAGTCAGAAAAAAAAAATGACAACAATCCATTAGACTTTTCGTCCAAATCAGACTGTGCTTCAGACATGAGAAAATATGAGTTCTGTATATAAAAAAAAGTTCTGTAAATATGCATAAGTAACTCTGATATGGGTGAACTCATATAAATTTTAACCACATTAACCAGAAAAACATGAACAAGAAGCAGTCTGCTGTGACGCCAAAAGATCTTGCTTATTGCAAATTTAGCCGACCTGGATGGAGAGGAGAGTAGCCTTAGCCATGTAATGACAATATTTAACGAAGACAAAGAAAGCTGCGCTTCCTTAGAATTCTCATTTAAGACCTACAGGGCATTTTTTTGGTAAAATAACAGTAATTATGTGCTATTACTTTATTACAAAATGCATATTAATGTGAAATAAACTAAACTGTCCATTTTCCTAAAAGATTGTTTGCTATGTTACAGTTTATCTGTGTAAAATTTCCACATGGTAAATTACTGTAATTTACTGGTTTTCTACTGGCACTCCTTCAGCCTGTCTACATTAAACATCTACACTTTATGGTGAACAAAATAATGAGTATTGAATAAAATATATCAGGTTATATGTTTAAAAGCTAGTGAAAATAAAATGAACACTAAACACCAAACCCAATTTTTTTTCTCTCGAAAACCTTTTGCTACAGCTTACGTCTTGTTTGGGTCAAAATGACCTGTTTTAATTTTTTTCTTTTAATTACATAAAATCTCATGGCCCTTGATTTCATTTCTTTAATAAATATGAAATTAAAAATAAATAAATAAAAATGCAAATTAAAAATGGCATTTATACTGCAGAAATTTGTGTTCAGATCATTTGTGCCTGTGAGTAACCAAGTGAAAGGAAAAAAAAAATCAAACCTAAAGTTTTGTCATATTCTCTTGTGCTGCACTCGCAGCTGTGCACACATACACCTCAACCACGTGAAGGGCTTCTTCCATAAATATTGCTTAGGAAAATAAGAAAATGATAGGGAAATTATGATATATTGTGTATTTAAAAATTACATTTAGATTACTATATTATAAATCTACTACCGTTAAAAGAGATAAAGAGATACTATTGGATCACCTGTACACCCTTTGCTAAGTAGTGAACATGACAGTTAAAAAGGTTTTAAAGTAAAGCCGAGCTTTTAGTTAACAATGGTGAGAATCCCAGTGGTTTCTCTGAGCTGATATGCTCTGGAAAACACAGACCGTAGACAGAGAACAATGCTTCCAGTCACAACAAAACTCCTACCTATCAGCCACGTTACTCCCTGACAGTGAGGGAGTGGAGACAAATGTAAAAGATGATATTCTTCTATGGTTCTTTCCCAGCACACATGCCGTTATTGTCCCATTTCCATCCAATCAGTTCAGAGAAAACCTCACTCTCTGAGGTGCACCATAAAACTCTTACCACATAATATATACTTTATAATGTTTTAAATAAATAAATAAATAGTAATGGCAAGTATATCCCTGTTGAATTAAAGCTTTGTGTCTGAGAGCTTTATTTAGTTAATGTGAGAAAAACTCTGCCAGCAAAGAAAGAAGATTTAAATTGATTTTTTTTTTTTTTGCAATTATCTGCAATTTTATGTATATAGTCCAAATAGTTTTTGCATATTTACATAATTTTAAGGTCATCTGTTGATAGCAGACCAAAATGTTAAGCATCCAAGGAAGGTGATGCAAGAGGTGAAAGTGAAGAGTTGGATCTGGCCCAGTGAGAATTGCAAACTCAAATCGAGCTTAACCAGTGAATTTTAAATCACTTTAATCTTCTTGAACTCTTAACGCTGTCAAATAACAGCATGCATTTTTGACTTTTATGTATTTATACGTTTGTAATGAGTGGGTATTTGAGTTAGCCATCCTTTCAGCTCGAACCAGTCTGGCCATTCTCCTCTGACCTCTTTCATCAACAAGCTGTTTCCATCTGCAGAACTGCCACTCAGTGGATGATTTTTGTTTTCTGCACCATTCTGTGTAAACTCTAGAGACTGTTGTGCGTGAAACCCTAATTAAAGGGGTTTTTCTGAAATACTCAAACTACTAGCACCAACAACCATGCACAGTCAAAATAAATTCTTTACCCATTCTGAAGTTTGATGTGAACATTACCTGAAGTTCTTGACCTGTATCTGCATAGTTTTATGCATTGCACTGCTGCCACATGATTGGCTGATTGGATAATTGCATGGATGTGTAGGCGTACAGGTGTTCCTATTAAAGTGGCTGGTAAGGAAAAAAAGATGTTTCTATACAAAAATATGTTAGTAAATAATTTTCACTAATAAAAAGAATATAATATGGAATGCTTGTCTGCAGTGTGCTCATGGTTTCATCTATGAAATCTTGCTTATTGTAATAAAACTCTTCATATAAATTTGGGATAATTGATGACATGGAAGAACCATCAGACAGGATACAAGCTTGCTTAGGCAGGGATTCTGTATTTGATGTTCTAGTAGAAGTAAATAAAAGTGCCTGAGCAGATGTTCTCAGATTCATATGGAGCACAAACTCTTGATGGGAAACATCTCAGCGAGAAGAGCAGATGCATGTTCCTCTCTGACAGTGAGTGATTTCACAAGGGACATCTACTGCCTAATGCAGGCTGTGCGCTTCATGTCACTCTGAAAAGGTGTGTGTGTGTGTGTGTGTGTGTGTGTAAAACAGAAAGACAGTGTGGCAAAAAGGGAGTGGTATGATGCAATAGTTTTAATGAGTAGTATTCTCACTGCAGCTCAGAGGATCTTTCTATCTCATTGTCCATTCTTGCTCACTCTCACTCTTTCTCTGCATAAGTGTCTATCATTTCCCTCTCTGGTATCACTCTCTCCATTAACCCTACACTGTCAGTGGATCCGTGTTCAGTTTATAGCTACGCTAACAACGCTTGCACTATGACTTGACTGTCTATCATAACCACCCCATCTTCCTGTTAAAGCTCTCAAAGGAAACTCATTAGCAGGAATAAACAAAAAGGACATAGAAAATCTAACACTAATCTCATACTCACACTTACACATTAGTCAATTGTTGGTCAAATTGTTGTATCTCACAAGCACCAAAATGTACGAAAAATGACCCAGTGAAGCATCAGAGAGGATGGCACATAAGATTCTTTGATCTAGTCCTTATTAATAAATCAATTAGGTTTACTTGTTGGCAAAAAACAATAAATTACTAAATTAAATAAATTAATTAAATAAATAAAAGTCAATATAACTTAGAGGATCTTAATCATATCAAGAGAAGAGTTCTGGTATTGTTTATTTCTGCAGTGCTCGTTCTTGGCCTGTTAGTACCTCATGATCCGCTGTGAATTTGGACATCTGCTGTGTGTCTCGGATGCAAACCAACCCTCTGCTTTTATATGCTAAAAAGAGAAAACACAAACAAATGGCACACAATAATGTCCCACGCACACGAGGCCCGCACCACGCTGTTACCTTGGAAACACACAGACAGATAAAGAAAGCAAAGTATTTTATTTTTAACTACAGTGATTATGATCTCTTTTGTGGCGATGAAGACATGAGACACTCAAGCTTGAACTCTAGATACAACGTGCCACAATGGTATTTCTGTTTTGACTCTTTTAGATCACACCAGGGGCTAAATTGTTTTTTTTTTTAACAGTGAACAGTTGCCTCTGTAATTCAGTGATTCATAGAGGTCAAATAAAAAAAAAAATTAGTACATTTAGTATAGAATATAGTGATATAGTAAATATAGGAAGTGTAATATAGTGAGCATGTTGTTAGTGTAGTGAAAATGTCCAGGCTATTTAATAAACTATGAAAATCACTTCCAGAACTGATTCAACAGCCTGTGAACAAATATTGTCTCCTAATCAAGGGCTGAGAAATGGTAAGCCACTCTCTCAAGGTCTGTTGTTTTACTGATTATTATCCTGTTATTGCTGTAGGTCCCTGAAGGACTAGTGGTTAGGCCTTGGCGCTCTCACCGCAGCAGCCCCGGTACAATTCCCAGTCAGGGAACTAACCCCAGCCACTGGGGTTGCACAGTGCGCTCTCAGTGCCGGTCTCAGTCCTGCATAAAATTGCGGGGGAGGGGGTGTCTGGAAGGGCATCTAGTGTAAAAACTGTGCCAAACCAAATATGCAGACCAGTGATCTGCTGTGGTGACCCCTAAAGGGACCAGCTGAAAGAACAATAACATCCTGTTAAAAATGCTACGTGTATATTATTATTTAAACTCCACTGAGGTAATCTTCACTATTTAACCTCCACCTATGACAAAATTATTAAATGGCTTTATTTTGGAGTAGCACAGTGAAAAGCCTGTCTCGTTTACTGTACCTATAATATTGACTCTACTTAAAATGTATGTATGCATGTATGAAGATTTAGACAATTGTTTTCACTTAACAAGTAAAAATATCCCATGGCCAAATTTATGTAATATTTCTGATTATGAGATTATTATAAATCGAATATCAGATTATTCAGCCTGTTTTTAGATGGTTGATTCCTTTTAGGCTTAGTTTTCTTAATTTCGTGGCAGATAACTTTGCTACTTTCTTGAAATAAATGTGTAAAATTAGAAAAATGATCTGCCAATACAACAACACAAGAAGACGATTTCAAGTTCTAGAAACAGGTTTAATAATCATACAGTATATTTGGTTTATTGTAATCATATAATAGGAAATACGATGCTAGATTTGACTCTTTTTTTATTTTTCTATTTTGACTAGCTTAAGTGTTGAATATACACACCATGATCAATATATAGTGTGTAGAATATGGCATAAACAATTTCTTTAATTTCTAATTAGTTTAGAAAAATAGGTTGTCCCACTGAGAGAACTCTGTAAGGTTCTATACAGAACCCTACAACAGAGGGTTTCTCTATTAAAGAGGGATTTAAGTAGAATTTTTATTGGAATCTGAGAATGATTAACTCTTCCTTGAAGAAGAACTTTTTCCTAATACTGTACAGGAATACGAGAACGATATTTTTAGAATTTATGTAAGCTACCAAGTCAAATGATCAAGTGAGTTAGTGTTGATCAGAATATGGACATGATGTACACTACATCCAGGAAAATAGCATTAATAAAAAATGAACCCACTGCTCTTTTTCTCTAGTGTAAAATGGCATTTATGGAGAGATCCACAGAAAGCTGTGCACAAAATAACTGCCTGATCCTTCTCTCAAGGCCACACTGGAAATGTGTGCAAGAGTGAACAAGAAACAGAGAACAGAGAAAGAAATGCATAGGGAGAGAAAGTGAGCTGAGGAATGGAGAAAATAAGAATAGAGGAAAAGGTAAGAACATTAGAGATGTGTAGAGGAGAGGGGAATGGACAAGGAAAACCAAGAACCAGGAAGACAGGGGAATGAACCAAAAAAAAAATAAATGAGTACAGGTAATAGTAACTGCATTGTGTCTTCTAAATTCATTATGAGATTCCTCCTTATCTGTCACACTTGCTGCAGGAAATGCAGTTGCACTACAAAGAATAAATTAATAATTACATTTAATATTGTCATTTTTAAAACAGGAGGCTGTATTATCATAAGAAGACAAGGCATCTCTCTCTCTCTCTCTCTCTCTCTCTCTCTCTCTCTCTCTCACACACACACACACACACACACACACACAAACACTTGCGTTCCTAAACTCATAGACAGTGCTCATCCACACTTTTGCCACATGCTCGCAGCTCAAAGAAACCCATTTAGATTCAAAACATCCGCAGGGCTGCACGCCAATTCTCTCTGAATTTGAATAAGTCACTGTTTACCCCCTAAACTTGAAACAACAATGCATGAGAGCAACAGCAAAGTGGGAGAACACAGTATAATGGATGTTCTCTGCTTTCATGAAACCAAAGATTGTTACAGTACAAAACTTAAAAGGTTCAGAACTGTCATTCTGCCAAACACAGATAAGGTCCAGAGCAGGTGATATATCTCCTTAATGGGCTTGGATAGACATACGCAGTGGTATCTAGTCTGTCTGAAACACATGACTCATTAGAGATTCTAACATTTTTCATGCATTCATCACAATTCACACGATTAATGGCTGAATATGTCAACATAAACATAAGAGTAATTAAACAGTACTGTATATCTACAAACAATCTAACATACATTTTCCTTACATCATGCTTTCGTTCATATTTGTTTTGTTCTTCTCTACCACTAAATGCAGTTCCTGGAAATATTTGACATCTTCTGGCCCATTAAACTTAAAAGGGAAACACTGATCAACGCTCGCCGATGAAATTCTCTGCGCAGTGTGCAACTAATATTAATGCTCTGGTTTTCATCAACAGTGCGTCTTTGGTAGGAGGGATTACATTGGGAATACCCTCAGATGTGTATCTGTTTGAGATAAGTGTCAGGCAGAACTAGTGAAGAACCATTTGATGTAGCACATCTTTTATGTCATGTCATCCTTTCTTTAAATATTATTGTTACCATTGCATGGTTCTTCCAAAACCAAGGAGCCAAAAAACTCTCATTCAGGAGGCAAAACAAATCATGTTTAAGCGGTTACCTCCAGATCCCCATGGTTAGAGTTTGGTGTGTGGTGTGATCATGAATGGAAGAAGAGGCTTAAGAGATCAGTAAACTGAAAAATAATATACGGAATAAAAATAAATTAGCTGACTAAATCTGAAATATCATTGTCTGTATAATTCCTATTACACTTAAACCTCTCTCTCTCTATTCCCCTCTCTCTCTCTCTCTCTCTCTGTCTCTCTCTCTCATCAAAATGACTTTTTATTGCCTAGCCGAGTGGATTTGTTTACTCTCACCCACTGTTCACCTCATCAGCTCTTAGTAATGCAAGAAAAAATGGATGTCTTAACCCTAATGCACCACACATTAACAGAGAGTGTTCTTCATATTCATATTCAACAGTCAGCTTTTCACTACAGTGACCCAAAGCGAAGCTCACGTATTACACTGATCACAGTAGGTCAGTCTGTGAAAACAGTCGGTCTTGACTGTTGTTTGCTGAACTGCGGTTGTGTTTGTAGCTATACGACATCAGACTACATCAGTTACTGGGAAACTGCAGTCTATCTGAGGAAAGTCTTTTCTCACAGCTGACATTTTTACAATCTGCTCTTCCAAGTTAAGGTTTGAAATGAAGGTCTTTTTGTCATGGCTTTCACTTTCCTGTAGGCAAATCACCCCTGCTGTTTTAGTATGATGGCTGAAATATTACTCCTATTAATCCCCTGTGCTTTTGTTCTCTTCCTAAATGCATTTCTCACCTAAGAGGGATGACGTGCCATGCCTAAAATTAGTCGCCTAAATTTGGTCCCTAATTCTAGGAGAGATTTTTTTCACCTGTTCTGCCCGGACAGTGTTTCAGAAGGGCCTGTTCCTGAATAAATATGTCTTGTGAAAAATGTTCTTGGGAAAATTGAGCTTGGAGTCATTTAAAACGTCTTAAAGTGTATAGCGGAACTGCCGGTGCATTAAGCCCCATCTGATTCACAGAGTCTGAAAGAGCCGTTGGGAGAAGGCACTACTCCATCTTTAAGTGCCTCCTCTTCAGTGTGATGACCCTGATTGCTCCTAGGAACATGCTGGGGAATGCTAATGGCAGAACCACTCAGCAAGCTGATATTTTTTATTTGTTTCACACCTGGCTAAATCTCAATTGTGCTCAAATTCAGCTTCAGCTATCATGAACTATGCTATTTTCATGCCGAGATACAACTTTTTACCTGCCAAAACAACAAGAGCACTTAATAAACATAACAACAGACATAACAATAGAGATGCTAATCAAAATGTAATAAGATCCAAGAGAGACAAGAATTACCATTTAACACCTGGTCCAATGTGACCAGAACGCACTGATTTAATTAGATTAATTAAATAGAAAATAGAAAATCTCCTCACATGCCATAGATCAAATTACTGCATTAAGTAATGTAAGTAAATGTTTTAATATACAAGTACACTTCTTATCATGAGAATCATAACACTGACTTCCACAAACCCTCTATCATATGATAAAATATCAGACTCATATAAATAATATTGATTGTATAATTGGTTTCAATGTCTTCAAGGCTGTACAGATGTACAGAGGTTTTCTTTATCCTTTAAACCCAAATAGCTATCCTTTATTGATGAGCTCTAGTGGGTATCACATGAGAGGTAGAGACTACAGTCATCTGTCGTCTGATATTAGTTCAGAAGGCTCGTCTCTTCTCATTTGCACATTAAAACACAGACAAACAACAGGCTCTGCTATACTGGAATATCTCTTTCATTGGGATAGATCTTTAGTCTTTGCTGAATACAGGGATTCATTAGAGGCAGTGATTAAACTGGGATCAAACAGAGAAATTCAACTGAATTCGTTTAAAGCCATCTAGACATGGATCAAACGCAGGGCTTCAGAATTCTACAGTTGCGCATGTTTCCATGTTTAGCATAATCTGCAGAACAAAGACTACAGAACAAAGGCAACTTTTGAGATTTTTGAGAACCAGTTTTGTTCTTCCGACTATCCTGTCATGTTGATTGCGGCATTGGACAATAAATGACATATTCACTACATTGCATTTACAGGATTTCAGACAGGCATAGTGATTTGTGTGTCTACTGTGTCTCCAGTATCTCTGGTATGAATGTGTGTTTCTCTTGCTTGGACACACATGAATGAAGTTGAACAGTTCCCCTCCTTCTGGAAGAACCACTTTAAAGTAAGGAGTTTTCATTCTCCCTAGACTCAAGGCTTTTACCTAGACCCAGGGCTCTGTCTCTCCATACTCTTGTTACTATTAAGTTACAACTACTCCTACCACCAGTCTCAATCCATGCCCAGAAAGGAGAGCGTACACAGCCACACAAAGACAGCAATATGCAAATGCATATGTCCACATACGTATGCAAAATCAAACACACCCTTACTGTACCTTGGAAGCCACAAAGCTTTTTTGAAACATGATTATATGTGTAATGCAGTTTTGAACATTCAGTAGTAAAGCCTGGG